CTGCCTCAGTCCCCCCCAGTAATATTTTCTTCTGCCACCTACGTGTCCTTCCAGCTACCCCAGGAAGTATGACCAGCACTCCTTACACTCCAATCCCAAATCCCAATTTATTAAAACATTACTTCCTCTTTATTTCTTTTTCAATTATCTTTTTCAATTCTTTTTATTTTATCCTTCAGTGGCTGACTTCCTTCATTTCACCACCCTTCCCCCACCCCTATGTCCTTTCTACCTCCCATTTCATTACTCATCCCCATCCCTTTAACTATCTACCTCCCAGTTTCATCTTCCTGCCCCCCGCCCAACCCATCTCTCACACATCCCGACCTAGAGCACAGATGGAATCTTGTCTTTAGTATTAGTCAGGCCTCTGTTCACCAGCTCTGTAGTGGTAAGTCACAGACATGTAAGTAGGGAACAATCAGAGAAGATTTTAAGCCTTAAGAGCAGACAGTCAAAAAGCCCAAGGCTGAATTAATTCACTTTTTGCAGGTTAGTCTAAGCTGCATAGATTGAACCAACAGATATTCACTTTTGATTCTGGAAATGCAGGAACGTATCTGCAGTGGCCTGGGTCAGAAGCTAGGGAGATGCTAGAGCACATTTACCTGCTTGGCTAGAGCAGACAGCTTGGGCCAGGGCTAGCCTACCCACCTTGCAAGGGCATGGGGTGTGTGTGTGGGGGGGGATATGCAAAGTATGTTGGGATGCTGGAAGACTGTAAGTTAATTTGAACCTGGAGGGGATCTGGGACAGAAGTTCAATAGACCAATTTAACCTAAATCAGTTAAGTCTGATACTACATCCATCCAGGTTTATGTTAAACCAATTTTAGCCATTTTGAAAGTGGTTTATGCGCACCAAACTTCTGTTGTGTTACAGATCTGAACTCGCTTCTGATCACTTATACTGGTTTGTGTCATTTCTGCCCCTAGCCAAGGTGTAACCTCTCCAAACTTGAGCTAGCACTAACACTGATCAACATCTGAGGAGTTCAAAGTGCAATGTGTAACAAGGCTCAAATACTTCAGAATCCACGGTGATGAGCTATCCTATCACATGGGTGCACATTTAATAACCCTCATGTTTACATTCATCCTATTGCCTTGTTTACCTCTCTCATTAAATAAAAGGGTCATTTATTTAATGTAGTTTTCACCTATCAGCTCTCTTTCTTAAATTTCTCCTCTCTTTCTTTACATTTCTCTGTAACGATTAACCCTCAGCTTCTTCCATGCAGTTGTCAGAGCTTTAAGTCCTTTGGGATTGAAGAACTATCTGCTCTCATTTGTCTTCTTCCTGACTTCCTTCTTTTGCTTTCTCCAACACTGTTGAATCTTTCTACCACTGTTCTCTTATTGCAAGCTACATCACACCAACCACAATCTTGCCTCCTCTGCTCCTGTTCTCATGCTGCTTTGTCTCTCAGGTACAAATCTCATGACAGGGTCAACTTCTCTATTCATTCTCTTCTCATCTAGTTGTGCCATCTTTCTGGATGTACAACTCTACTTCTCCAACTTAAATGTATCCTGTGCCCACGATACTAGCTGCCTTTTTCCTACCTTTCTTTACGCCTCTGACCTTTCCATTCTTTCACTTCTTTATCTACACAGGATTTTATTGATTTCTTTCAAGAGAAAAATTGAGAAATCACATAAAGTGTTCTTCCTTCTCCCTTTTCCATCATAAGTTCTTTCTTCTTATCCCCACATCAGATAAACTTTTGTTTATGTTTCTTATCTGCTGTCCTCTTCTAACATCCTCAACTCATCTCACATCTTGACCTCCTTTCAACCCCATTCTCAAGTCTATTTGATCTTTTCATTAATATCTCACTTTCTTGTTATTTTTTACTTTACAATACTTCCCCCTTTACAATACAATGCTTTAGTGTCTTCAATCTCAAAAAGAAAAATGTCTGAAGTCTTCCAATGAGGGCCTTCCTACTCCTAAATAGCACCCAAGCTATATTCATGTCAGTTGAGAGATTGGTATGTCCTTTGGAGCAAGAGACAGATCACTCCAAACTTTGAACTCTTCAATAGGGTACAATACAGCGAGTCAAGGTAAGAACAAGCGTGGTTAACTGCCTCATTAGCCACTTAAAACCTGGACAGGAAATCTGTGCCAAGTCTATTGCTGAGATACTAAGAATGGAAGGGGTAGCCTTACCTAATGATGTTTATTTATTAATTACTGATATTCTCAAGAGTTGTAGTGATAATGTGAGGAAGGATATTTCATACTCCAATTTTTGGCTACATCCCTCCCAAGTATACAGTTTGTGCAATAGAAGATATCATCCACACAGCTCTTTGTCTTTGACTTTCTTTATCCCATCTCCCTCCCCCACACAAATTCTCTTAGTTTTAAATACTTACGATTTGAGAGTGGGGAGGTATCATTCATTCAGGGCATTCTTGACATGATTTAACTCTCCAGGCTTCTTGGAACAGATTGAGTTCCTCCCAGCCCCTGCACTCTCCCGTCCCCAAAAGAATATGCAGATATTCAACTCAGACCATTTTACTGCCAGCAGACTCTTAAAGGAGTGTTATGATATTTACTCTTAAAAACTGCCACCTAATACTTATACAGTTATTGCAGTCTTTCTGGCTAAGGAGAAACAGATTTTCTGCAGCCTTTCAATGGTGACTGAGATGTACTTAAGCCAAAACCTGCAAACCCAGTCTGATTCTAACCTTTCCCAAGGTGGTGTGACCTGGACTATAGGAAAAGTAAACCCAATCCCCTAACATCTGATTCTACACTGTTCAGCTCTCCCATCTCCCACTGAAGACAAGAGGTGCACAGGTTCTACCAGGATCAAGCCCAAACTGTTTGAAAAGGGTCACTAATGATGAACTTCTCCCAAAAGCCTTCTAGGTTAATACATATTTACTTCCTAGGGCTCCAGGCTGGGGCATCAGAAGCAGACAATCAAATTTACTTTCCCTTCGTTTTAGGATTTTTTATATCTTTGGTGTGTGCTTCAGAGTAAACTGAGGCTTTATTTTGATATGCATGTAGCAAAAATATCCTGTCAGCTATTTCAGGATTTCCACAGTGTTTTAACATGTTCCCCATGGAGAAGATATAAAGGGGTGTGTCATTTCCCCTTTGCTAAGAAAAAGAAATATACCAGGTTCTGGAAAAGAAGGGGTCCACAAAAAAGAGAAGGAAAGATGAACCAGCAGAAAGAAAAAATGCAGCCCTGGGAGACAAGGGTATTAAAAAACCCTAAAGCCCTCAGTGGAGCAGTGAGCACTTGATAGAAGAAAAGATTAAAGATACAGGTCTTGCTTCAAAAAGACAGCTAAAGCTAAAGTGCATCAACAAGGGATCCAGCTTCTACAGCTATAGTAGATGTATTTATTTCAGAAATATACATACATAAATGCAAGCAGAACAGGGTCAAGACAGGTTATGCTGTGCCAAACCTCTCAGAAACAAGACAACTCAGCCAGACCAGCAATCTGGCTCCCCAGTAAAACAGCTTCAGCATATTCTGAGATTCAGTTAACACACCAGGTGGTATGCATTTTAGGGGTGTGCAAAATGAGCCCCATTCAATTTGGATTTGGCCCAAATCAAGGACAGTGATTCAGTTAATCGATTCTGATCACTGTTCCCGATTTGATTTGGCCAAATCCAAATCTGAAGATTCAGTGCTGATCCAGAGTATGAGCAATTCAGCCATAGACACAGCTTTAAATGTTTTTTCAAAGTACGAGGCATGGCTCCTGAACTCTGAGATGGTAGGGTGGATGGAGCATCCCACAGGAGCGGTTGGGTGGGGGGGGCATGCTCAGTAGCAAACCCAGAAGTGGACCAGAACTACTTCTGGTCCACTTCCAGGTCTGCCCCCTCCCCCCCCGGTGCCCTCCCATCTCAGCAATCAGCTGCAGGGGGACCCTGGGTGCCCCCCCCCAGACCCAGGAGGCACCATTCACTGAGCCAGGGGGAATGCAGGGCGGGGGGCCCAGCATGCGCAATATTCACAAACCATCTGGTACTTAGGGATATGTAGAAAACACATTTAAAGCTGTGTCTATGTCCGAATCATTCAATCTTTCTGAATCTCTCCAAATTGATTTGGAGGATGCCGATTCAATTCAGAGAGATCAAAGGGTCTCCTGATTCAATTTGCATTCAGAGATTCAGCTACCAAGCTGGGCTGGATCTCTACTGAATCAAATCAGTGACTGAAGCTTCGCACAGCCCTAATGGATTGTTATGTACCTCTTTAAACAAACAGGGAAAGGTGGGGGATGGGAGGAAGGAAACACCCTACCATACTCTGTTCTATTGCTCCCTCTGCAGTAGTTACTGTCCAATGACCCAAATAATAGTAAAGGTCTAAAAGCACTTTAAAATTTACATTACAACCTGTTAGGCCCTGTTAGGCCATCATCTTCATCCTCATCTACTGTCATTCAGTGTGGTTCTATTGGAATCTGTAGGTTAATCCACTTTACACCAATGGAAGGACTGGTCTCATTACTTTCAAATAAAAGTAAAAGATTTTATTTAATAGGGACATTGGGAGATATGTATCTACACTGTTAAGTAAAAAATGAGTCAGAACACATATCCAGCCAATATAAAATCCCCATTAGACTGAGAGCTTCCTTCCCTTAAAAAAAATATTTATGGTCTGCTTGATACAATGTTCAAGAATTTTTTTTTTTAGGGGGAGATTCTACAAACATAAGAGAGGTTTGAAAGCATTAAAGATGTAAAAAAAAAATTCTCAGCTGATCACAAAGAAGCAGCAAGGTACTATTTGCTTAAGAATAGCTTCCTTTTTCACTTGTAAAAAACACTACAGGAAATTACTGCCAAGAAGAAAGAACAACAACAAGAAAAAGCTGCCCTGTTTGTATTCTCCACTGTATTTTGGCCAAAACCAAAGCCCATTTCCATATACTAACACCCACAAGAGTGGGTGAATACACAAAGTCCAACCTTTGGACAGAAACAAATTGTGCACATACCTCTTTGTTGTTTACAGAGTTTTCAGAGGTGCTGGGCCAGAGAGGGTCCAAGGTAAATCTTGTGGAAGAGTCTGTTAAGTAAGCTTCTCCATAGCTGACAGGGAAAGGAGTCCTGGCATCCCCACTTCTACTGTTCATTCCTTGTCCATTTGGACTATCACCTGAGAACATCAAATACTGAGCATCTGTATGTTCAAAGCCTATATGGAAATTCAACTTGTTCTCATTTTCTTCCACAACTGAGCCAAATTCACCTTCAATTTGACTTGAGCTATTTCTTTTACATGCATCGTAGTTGTAGTATGTTTCGAGGGGATATGTTGGGTAGGAATCTTCAACACTGAAGTTATAACAGCTTGGTAACAAAGAAGGTCTGAAACCAACTGCTGGTGGTCCTGTGGTTTGTTGCCAAGGAGATACAGGACTTCCAAAGTAAAATTCACCAGGAACCCAAGGTTGATTTACTCCATAAAAATGCTGTTCTGCTGCATTTAAGTCAAATACTTTTGATGTGAAAAACTCATTTTCTTCAGGACCATGTGAATCTGATGGACCATAAAAGGACATTTCACTGCTGACTTCACCAGCTATATGATCCAGGCCTAGGCTGACCTGGCTAGCAGGAACAAAATGATACATGGAGTAAGATGTTTGCCCCTCAAATTGTTCTTCATTTAACTCCTCTTGTGTCAAAGGCGGTTTCCAAGAGTGCGCCATAGCTGCTTCAGTTTATGAATCTTGTTGGCACTTTGGGGAATTTTACCATAATCCCAAAGTCACAGTTGCTAGCATTGCATAATGTGTGGTATTATTCACTGAAACAACAAATTAAGTCACATTAAAAAAAATAATAATAATAATTCAATGTGTTGAAAATTGTACAAGTGACATTAATATTAGAATGCTCTCCATAGATGATAAAGATATTCACTCTTGTACTAGATACTTGGTGACAAGACCCACCTAGCTATTACTAAATTCCTGAATAGAAATTACATCATCCTTAGAAATGTATAGGCTGAAATATCCATTTCAGCAGTTTCCAAAGATTTTTTTTTTTTACATTTCTTCTTGTGGTTATTTTAAACTTAAATGGAACAATATATTCAAGGATCTCATACCCTTTACAAAAAACTAGGCAGCTTCACAATATCACTGCAAGACTCACTAGTGTATAGCTCCCTACTGTGTCTTTGAAAGCTCTCACCTATTATACCAGTTTTATATAGGTGTATTTTGAGGCAAAGAGCTGAAGGTCATTCTGTGAGTCAATTAAAAAGTCAGCAATAAAATCAGTGTCCTTGACCCCAGAACTATTCTTTAAAAAATAAACACTTGCACAATTTCGAATGATCATGTAAACCAAGATAAAATATCAGCAAGCCAAGGTAAGCCCCCCACCCTCCCCCCTACTTTTTAAACTTAGATTTTTAACAGAAATACATAGAAGATAAGACCAGAAAAATATACAGACATATAATACAAACAAGGTTTCAAAAACATCTAGGGTTACGTTAGTTGGCTGCATATTCTGGTTCCCAGTTGGATACAACAGCAAAAGCAGCCTGTCATCAATGCCTAAGAATGCAAATGGCCACAATGACACAGTATATGGTGAATTGTGTTTGCTGCATTTTTCAAATAAAATAAATTGCAACTTATTGTCAATTAAATTTTCATTGAATTATAGTGTCAAATGCTTTAATACAATGACAACTTATTCCCTTTCAGGAGAGAGATGCCATTGAGATGAAAAGTACTCTTGTAAATTGCTGAGGCTGAGTACCACAAATGGTTTTTCCAATATGCTCCTAAGATCTATGGTGTATTAGCTTAGATTATAGTGCCATGCACTGAAAAATCTATATTACAGTGGAAGGTATTCATCATAACTTTTTTTTTTACGTAGTCAAAGCCAAAATCCATTTAAACTCAAGCTTTAATCACCCACAGTCAGAAGTTAGGAGGAATGGAAAGTGAAATTGGTTGAAAGGGACCTCTTGTCATCACTATAGTTTGAACTGTACCTTTTGCCCCTCACCCATTCTTTGTGCATTCTTTCAAGTGATACTTACCAAAGGAAATCTTTGTGATAGAGCTGGTCATTTTTTTTTTGGTGAGAAACTCAAAGGAAATAAACTATGTTTGTCCTGTTATATAATGTTCTCTTCCTTTTTTAGACTACTTTTCCCCCTTGAAGTGAAACAATTTGAAAAATAGAAAATTTCATGGGGAAAAAAACTGTTACTACTTCAAAGCCTGCAGAGGAGAATAGAAAATACAAAACCCCTTTTTAAAACTCAATCATTTCTAAAATAGACTCTTAGCAACATAAAGTACATAATGGTATAAAGGCTATTAATGTCAAACAGCAGATCTGTGGGATGACTAGCTCAACTCCTTCATGCGTACCTCATGTCATGAGTAATGTTGCCATAAAAATCAAAGCTTTATATCATATTGGATACATTTCTTTCAGCTATAATACACATGAAAATCTCTGTGTGTGCATCAGACTTATACACGAATGTTACCTCCCACTTCATCTCCAATGTTCTGGATTTTTTAATTGTGCTAAGAAGACTCATTGCTATCACCACTTGGTCCATCATCATATACTGCAGCAGTTGCACTAAAGGCCGGGAAAGATATGGCCAACATATTCCACCCTTTTATTCTTAGTGGACAGACGGTCCCTTTGGGATGATTAGTGCTATCCCAAAGCTGATGTAACACATCCTGCAACAGTGTCACATGAGGCTGCAACTTCCTAACAAACATATTCTCTGCTGAAACAAAAGGTCAGTGCTGTAGCCAAGAATCGTAACACATACATTCTTGGAGCATACTACATAAAAATTCTATTTCTCTGTGTAACACATACTGATTGCTCTCTTTGAGGCAAATGTTTAAAACCAGCTGTTCAGAATAGAATTTCAGCATGCTCCATCTTGCTGAGGCCTGTTCTGTGCCACACAGCAGATGCTCAGTTCCTGGAACGATCAGATTCAGAATTTGGGCCAACTCCCACCCCTAGCCCTCAAACCATGGTCCAAATTACCATACATAAGTCTGGCCTATTATTTTTCATTGTTTATTACTTGTATTTTAGTATTTACTTGTATTTTAGTATCAGCACTGACAGCCCCAAGCACTGACAATGCATTGAACAGACTAACCCCCGCCCCATGAAAAAATAATAATTAAAAAAAAAACCCACAGAAAGGACAATGATTTGGGTTCATTTTATTTGACTTGTGCTTTTTGAGCCACCATAGTTTGTGTTTCTAAGCTTGCCTCTGAAATGAAGATGAGAAATTCCTTGTTCTTTTAAATGAAAATTGATATTCTTGCATAATCACTTGGGTCTAGGATCTGAGGGTAAGAAAAAAAGCCAAATATCATGATGCTTATGATAAAAAATGCAATTTGACTACTCTATGCAGTACCACAATGCTGTAGTTCTTATGAAACATATAAAAGATAGTTTCCATATTTTAAAGTGACAATGGCAACACATCCTAAAATAAAGCACTTTTATTATATAGGCCCAACCCTTTACCTGAACAAGGATCGGGCTATTTGCTAATCTCTAAGCATATTTGTTACAGTCTCTTACCTTAAATACATAGTTTGTTGGAAGAACATCGAATCTCATTTCATTCACAGTCATGCTCAGGGGAACTACATAGTTTCGATTTCAAGGAGGCAGGAAGCTTTCTTTAGAAGCTTTCATTCCTGTTTAACAGGTTTAGTGAGTTGATGACTCTCTCCCATTTCTTCCCCCAGAGAAATCTCCAGTGACAAGAATAAGAAATGGGTTGTTCTTCTATTTGCTGTCTTCATGCTGTTTGGGAACCCTAGTTTTAAAGATACTGCTTAAACACCTTACAGAATTAAACTTACTATAGATATAGTATATATAGTGTGCGCGTGTGTGTGTGTGTATAAAAATCAAGGTGCACTTCCCAACTGAGAGGTCTCAGAAATGCTCACATTTAGAAGGATTTCTGCATTGCAGTAAGATTCAGAAGTTTCCACTTTTAGCGAGATCATGCAGCTTATAGGTCAATTTGCATCACTGACATAACTTGAGAGGAAATCCTGCCTCTTGCAATCAGGAATGGCTGATCCCTCTGCCACATGGTCTGCTAATAGAGAAGGCTCATCTCAGTAGGGGATTCCTGCTCTGCAGTGTTCTAGTAGAGTCAGAGCAGGCCAGGTAGGGAACCTCACCTATGCTGGCCAGAACATTTGGCCCCATGCAGGGGAGACCATATTGTTTTCTATCAAAGAGAGAAACAGGTTGGTTGCTACAGGCAGAATGCCTCACAGAGACTGTACACACTCATACTTCACATTGCAAGACTGTGCCTTAAAATGTATAGCTCATTTAACTTATAAACATGTTAAGAATTCATGTTAAACCCAGAGCTTAATCCATTGCGAAGTTTTACATGAATAAAAATAATTGTGCTAGGGAAAGTATGATACAGTACACTAAACAATGTTTTGCTTAGGAGAGGTCATGCAGCATTATTGAATACATGAGGTTAAAGTGTTTAAGGTTAGTCATTAATTACAGATATCTTCTACCTAATAGCAACTAAACAGGATATGAATGTGATTATAAAGAAAACTTTGCCCTGGAACATGTGTTTAAGGCTGTTGAGGAAATAAATGGGAGGCCACAGCATTTATGCAAGGACAAAAATTTGAATTGTAAGATGCATTATTCCTGACCATAGCTTCACTTCCTAACAGTGGATATGAAGCTGGGTGAGAGGTCATCCCCTGGCAGTGGGGAACTTAACATCAGAGATGAGATCTGATGATTTTCTCTGTTCTCCTCTCTCCCCAAATTTAAAGAAAGTGAACAAGAGACCCTCTGCTGCTGTTGCTAGCAGTTTATTAAATTACAATTAACACAAATGTATTACTTTTAATAATGTTTATTTTAAAATAATTTATTAAATTAAGTAAAGACACAATCATGACTACTTTTGACCTTTTTTCTGTGTAAAAGATAAATGTGGTAAAAATCCCAGCTGCAGATAAAGACTAAAGAGCTTTGCTTATGCTCTAAAGTGAAATACAGGCATATTCCACAAAGTCAGCTTTTCATCTTCTATCTCTTCCATTCTCTTGCCAGCAGAGCATCTGCATAAAATGTTCACATGCAGAGGGCCAGCACTAGACTATATCTACAATTTGTGGAGTCAAATCTAACAAAACTCACACCAGACTAAGGAATTTTTTCAACAGCTTACATTCAGTTCAAGTTGTTGTTCTTTAGTGCCACCTACTGTCACAGTGCATCAAAACTCATGAAAGAAACATGAACCAGAAAACAGCATTCAAAGGAAATTCTTATATCTCACCCTGTCCAAAGACTGTCCTTTTAGGAAAAGGATTATGGTAGCTGAGACACTGCTTTATAAGTCATGTGATATTACTTTGCTTGAATTAGCATCTTTATGTACCGATGCATGTAGTCAGGTAACTAGGATACCCAATGGGTAAAACAGGGTGCCTAATCCTATGCATGCCCTCCCCTTTGAACTGCAGTTTGGGAAGAAAAAATGATCAAGTGCAACACATTATTATTGGTAAAACACACATAGGTTACCAAGATGTGGGCCATGGATAACTTGGTTACATTGTATATGTATCCTCTTGTCTCTTTGTCTAAGTTGTAAGCTTCAAAGAGAAAGGAC